GGCCGATTTACCGCAGAGACTTCAACTCCCATGATGCTTTGCGGCGTTAGCGCGGAGCCGACGTGCCCCCTCCTTTGTGTTTTTTCCAGCGTCTGCTGCCGGTGTCTGCAGCTCCGCTGTCTCGGACAAACTAAACACTCCTCTCACTCAGCGCTGAGTTCACTCAGCTGTTTTCTGACGTTGAAGCCCAGAAACAGAGATTCTAGCTGCTCAGTAATGTGTTCACGACTGAAAGAGAAAGTTTTCCAACTAACGTCCAGACAGAGCTGATATAACTCCAGCGAACAGCGACACGCTCAAACCAGCACGGCTCTGTGGCTGCTGTCGTCGTGTTTCCTCCCCGACACACAACAACGTGGTCAAGCTGCTCAGACATGTTCAGCAGCACAAACCTATGTGAGCACCTGTTGTCATCTAATGTTGTCATTATTATGATGAAGATGAACAAAACAACAGGAGTCTCCTCCTCATCTCAGATCAACCCCATGATGCAGGTATCTGGCTGGAACAGGTGAGCATCACAGTAAACCAGTGGAGCAAAATGAGCTTTAAATATGTTGGTTTTATGCTCTTTTTCTGCTCCAAAACATGAAAGTTAACAGGTGAGATGTTGCATTTTCATTTAAGATAAAATGATATATTTATGTTGTTGTTGGCCCGTGAGAAAAGATTTAACCTACAGTAAACAGGAAGTGGAAAGGCTGCAGATAGATGAATAGAATAGAAAATCCCTTTATTGTTCCTCAGTGGGGAAAGCTAGACGTCACAGCAGCGATGACACGTATTACAGGAGAAATAAAGGAGAATAAAAAATAAGAAAATGAATAAACAACAAGAAAACATAAATCCTGAACAGATTTTTAAAATGCTGTTTATACCACAAGTAATGAATACCACTGATGCGTTTTATTTAAAATTGACTTGCTCGTGTGTAATTTGGCTATTCCACATTCAGTGTTAATGCAGAAATAAGTTTGTTTCCAAATTTAAAGGTTCCAAATTGCATACATGTTGATAAAGAAAATGTGCAAATTTGCCGTCACTTTTTCAAAAAATATTAAGTTTGGCCCTCGACTCCGTCCCAGAGTTTCATTTCGGCCCCGTGTGAGTTTGAGTTTGACACCCCTGCCTTAAATAATATGTTTACTAATGCTATGTAATACATAAAAATAGTTGTTAACACTTCAGTTAATGGTTTATTAATCCTTAATAATGCACTAAGTAACATTAATAATGGGACCTTTATTGTTACCAATAGATGTTGCAATATGTTGCCAGTTTGTTCATTCCGTGCCTAGAAGACTCAGTGCTGTCCTTTAAAATCACGGTGGTCATACAAAATACTAGATAGGGTGTCTTCAACTTTGCTTCAACCATTTTTAGTAAAACGGAAGATTTTGTGATCTAAGTTATATTATTAACATTAATTTCATGTTATGGAGTAATCATCATCATCATCTTTATTTATAAGGCCATTTCCATCACTGTAGCTGTACACACAACAAAGATATTAAAGAGTAAAACAACAGCAACCATGCAGTGCCTAAAATATAAAAAAAGATGATTAAAGCAACAAAGACAGTAGTTAAAAGACAAGATAAGAATGACTAAAAGAAGGCCATGGTTTAACAATGGGTCTCAACCTGCTCTTAAAAGCTGGCAGAGAGGGTGCTTGTCTGATCTCTAACGGAAGGTCTTACTATAATTTGGGGACCCAGACCAAGAAAGCGCTGCCACCTCTGGTCGAGCACCGCACACGTGCAACGCCCAACATCTCCAGCTGTAATGACTTCACAGCGCGCGATGGAGTGTACGGGGTTGTTAAGTCAGAGAGGTATGATGGTGCACAGCCCTGAAATGACTTGAAGACAACCGTGAGTTAAACAAGTGTTCAATGAAACCCAGCCTTGTGAAAATTCTGGAAATTATTTTATTCACTGAACTTCTGATTAAATTCATACCTTTTAAAGGGGTGTACTCATTTATGCTGACCACTGTATATATGAGAATATATACAGATATGAGAGTATATATATATACAAATATAAGAGTATATATACAGGTATGAAAGTATATATATATATATATACAAATATAAGAGTATGTATACAGATATGAAATTATACATATACAAATATGAGTATATATGCAGATACGAGAGTATATCTACAGATATAAGAGTATATATATATATACAGATATGAGAGTATATCTACAGATATAAGAGTATATAGACAGATGTAAAAGTATATATACAGATATAAAAGCATGTAAACAGATATAAGAGTATATATACAGAAATAGGCGTATATATACAGATATAAAAGTATATATATAGATATGAGAGTATATATACAAATATAAGAGTATATATATACAGATATAGGAGTATATATACAGATATGAGAGTATATATACAGATATAAAAGTATATATATATATATATAGATATGAGAGTATATATACAAATATAAGAGTATATATATACAGATATAGGAGTATATATACAGATATGAGAGTATATGTACAGATATAAAAGTATATATATATAGATATGAGAGTATATATACAAATATAAGAGTATATATACAGATATAGGAGTATATATACAGATATAAAAGTATATAAACAGATATGAGAGTATATATACAGATATAAGTGTATATATACACATAAAAGAGTATGTATACAGATATGAGAGTGTATATACAGATGAGAGTATACATACAGATATGGACTAGAAGCACTAACCTATTACCTGGCCCAAAGACATTCAGAAGATATGCCTCCTTCTTCTTTCATCCTTCAGCTGGCTAAGTGGATGTTATGTAACAATGTGTTTCTGTTTCAGAACCAATTTTTTTGACATAAAAAAGGTACAGCAATGGGAGCATGCTTTGCACCCAATTACTCTAATCTTTTTATGGGACTTTGGGAAGAAACATATGTATACTCTGATCGTAATGTCTATGCTGATAAGATGATGTGGTGGGGAAGATACATTGACGACATTATTCTGCTGTGGTCTGGTTCAGAATCAGAACTACTTCAATTCCATTCATATCTTAACAAAACTAACAAAAGTTTGAAACTCAGCCTAGACTTTTCCTAATCAGAAATTAATTTCCTAGAAATAAAAATCTCAAAATCTGATAATGGAGATTTACACACTTCTATTTTTAGAAAACCTACTGACCGTAATACAATCCTCAGAGCAGACAGTTTCCATCCATCATGGTTAATAAACAACATTCCCACTGGTCAGTTTCAAAGACTTAGACGTTTTTGTGACACAGAAGAAGAGTTTGAAAGAAATGCTACAGTTATGGGCCAGAGCTTTACAACAAGAGGATACCAGCAAGGAACTATACTCAAAGCGTATAATAAGACTAAAAGCCTGCCAAGAGAACAGCTATTGGTACCTAAAGAGAAGAACCTACAAAGATCAGATGGTGTTTATTTTGTGACCCAATTCAGTGATCAAGCCAACAAGATCAAAAAAATAATTACAAAAAACTGGGACATACTGAAAAGTGACAGTGTTCTTAGGGAAGCTCTCCCAGATACTCCTACTATCAGCTTCAGACGAGCCCCAACATTAAATGATCAACTTGTTAAAAGTCACCTTCCTCCACTGGTTATCAACTCGAAAAGGCAACTATAAATGTGGAAATTGTGTTCACTGTGACAACATGACTAACACTAACTGTTTTGCTGATGTTTTCACAGGACGTACTTTTTACATTAATACATTTATCAATTGCAATACTTCATTTGTGGTCTACAGACTAGAATACCCATGTGGTTGCTTCTATATTGGAAGAACTAAACGTAAGTTAAAAGCAAGACTTGCAGAGCACAAACAAGCAATCAGATCTGGTAATCCTCTATATCCTATGGCAGTGCATTATAAAGACACAAATCATGGAAGCTGTAACTCTCTTAAAGGAGACATAACATGAAAAACCCACTTTTTTTTATCCGTTAACACAGTGTGTTTCACATTTTAAGTGTCTAAGTGAGCAAAAAGGCTTATATTATTCACTGGAGTTTCTATTTAGATATTTAATAATTAAGTTTTGGGCATATTTGCCCACCCGTTCAGTTTTTAAAATTATCTATTACATCAGTAATTTATTTAGTCAGGATAACTACCAAATATGGTAATGGCCCTCGGCTAAACACAGAGCCAATCCGCCATTTTTTCATCTCGCTAAGATTTTTTGTAGTCCTATTGGAAAAATGCAGAACGTCCAGTTATTTTAGCCACACACAGCTCAAAACTGTTCCTCATTTTAAGGAAGGGTGGTGTGGCAGTATTTAAACCCAGGAGCTGATGACACTACTGCTAAAAAAAACACAGAAGAAAAAGTAGTGTGTGTGTGTGTGTGTGTGTGTGTGTGTGTGTGCGCGCGCGCGTGGTTCGTTCGTGTCTCCTGGCTAGTAAGTACCGAGGGCTTCATCTATCTAAAAGGAGTAATTTCCATTTGAATGTGGCAGCACCGGGACACAGCAGCAGAGCAGTAAGCTTCATATCACTCTAAAATGTCGACAAACTTTACTTTAGATTTACGGGCATTAGCAGCACTAAAGCGTTAGCATCCGGCTTGCTATCGCTAGCACAGTATGCTAGTAAAGTTAGCACCCAGATTAATGTGGATTTGGCTGATTTTCGTGGAATAAAACGTGATCTGGGATTTCTGATCAACGCCTTCTTTTACACCAGATGTACATCCACTGATTGTAACAGCAGAGAGCCTGTGTGTTATTTTACATGAGTGTGATGTAATCTTAGCATCCAGTAAATAAAGTCCCATATCAGCTAAAATGCAGCGTGACAAAGTCATTAAAGTGCGTCAACACAGTGGATTTAATACAAGTTTTAAAGAACAATCTCTGAGTGGAGTGAGGTTAGTTTTTTGTCTCACTGCAGATATAAAAACTAACTCTGCATCAGTCAGATGCAGCAAAGCTCACCGTCTAGTATGAGCGTGAGCATCGGAAAGCTGATAAAATTAGCTGTAAAATAATTAAAACAAAAGTAAAAATGTTCCTTTGCTTTTTAGAGTCCACATCCAGAAGGCTGGAGCCGTGTTTCACTGACAGGCTGTCAGACTAACGCCCTGATGAGCTCAGCTGGGACAAACTGGTCTGATGTTTAGGTAAGTGAAGATCTGCTTCTCCAAGGCCTTGAGATGCTAGTAAAAAATAATTTAGCCAGCTTGCTAATGTTACTTTTCTTCTCCTCTAAGGAACACAGAATGTTCAGATGTTGGAGCTTCACGACACCTACTGAGGAAGGAGACCCACCAGTAAAGAGATGGTAGCTGGACCAGACCAAAGTGAGTGATGACACACCTCAGCCACCCTCATCATTAAGAACACCTCACCCCCTGAATCACTCTGTCTGATGACAGCAGAGTGATTTATTTGATGTTTTACTTGTTTAGTCTGTTTAGAAATTATTGAATTACATTATTTTCTGTAATCGACCATCTGATCTGGACATGTACAGAATAACTTTCCCCAAATTCAGCAGCAGCTGGCCTGTAAAAACAGCTGCAGCATGTAGTAAGTCTGTCTGCACTGCTCTCTAATGAGCTTCCTTTCATAAGGAGTCATTTGTATAATTTTAGCGTCACTATATTATTACATTTGTAAGAATATGAAGTCACTGCAGCAACACAAACGTGACTATAAACATGAAAGCTAAAGAAACAACTTTCCTAAAGCTGCTTGTAAACAAAATATGTCATTAATGTTATTGTCTATCATTGCAGAATATGGCGATGACATCATGGAACTGGTCTTTGGAAAAGTTTTCCCTGAACCAACTCCGTTTCTAGATGAGGTAGAGAAGATCTGCATCTCACCAACCCTCTGGTCTCAGTATTCAGACAACGGAGGTCTCCCACTGTTATCCAGGACCAGTTTGAAGCCCACATACTGCCCCTCCCTCATCATCAGGAAACATCAATCCGTATCCTGAGGACAACAGAAGACGGCAGGAGGACAGGAACTCTGAGACACCACCAGCACCGGGACACAAAGCACCTGTGTGCACAACGCCTGTTTAACTACTAAAACCTGTTTATTATATTGTTCTACTTATTTGCTGTGAGGTTAATACATAGAAAATGTGTATATTAATGTAAACAATTAAAAAAATCACTGATTGTATGTTTTCTTTTAGATGTAATGGTCCAAACTCAGCCTTGTAGACATTTATTGCATCCTGTAGGTAAATACACAGAACAGGCTCAGGTCCAGGATGACCCAGCATGCTCTTCTTCCATTCTGGCTGTTAGGGATTTTATCAATAACTCAATGCCTACTGATGTTTTGACCTAACGGCATTTATTTAGAATGCAGGTAAGATTTAACTATATTTGTTAAAAAGCAGACTGATCTTGGGGATTTCACTGCAGCACTGATGTCCACCTCTGTGTACACATTAGAGAGAATTACCACGTTACAGCTAAACACATATTTAATAAAGATATAGGCTATGCATTGCAGACAATAAAAACAAAGTTGTAAGCATTAGAATTATAATGATCACATTAAAGAACACTTGGAGGAATGTTCTTTATTTTTGACTAGAATCTCAAATCTTTAAATTAAAATGTAACTGCTTTTTATCCATTTTCAGCCATTAAGACACCCAATATTAAATAAGACTACTTATAAACTTATTTATAATTATATGTATGTATATATATATAGATAGAGATCTTAATAAAATATATTTTTAATGGTGTTTTCATGAGCTGTATCATTTTTTAAATTTTTTTTTTATAGAAATAAATAAGCAAGCAGCATTCCTTGTGTGTGTGCGTGCGCGCGCGTGCCTGCTCGCTTGTCCCTCCGTCGGCCGTGACGGGTGTGTGTGAGTGAATACAGACAAATGCATGAGAGAGTTAGCAGCCATGAAACAGCTTGATGAACTACTCTCCCCACATGTTTTAAAAATGCTAATATGCTATGCTAAATCTGCTATGCTAAATAGATTTCTCTATAGAACTACAAAGTCCGGCTGGGGGAGGAGAGTACAGGTCTGCACTATGGAGGGGGCGGAGTTTACAGCTCCTCCTCCAGTTTAAAGAGACAGTACCCAAAAACGGCTCGTTCTCAAGACTCTCCTCAGAACAGGGGTAGATGAGGGTCTGTAGAGCAACAATAATGAGGAAATCAGACCAAAGAACTGCAGTTCCACTGTATTTAGACCCCAACTGAAGGATTTAGATGTAAAAAGGAATAACTAAAAAGCATGTTATGTCTCCTTTAAAATCACAGGGATTGAACATATAAAAAATTCAATTAGAGGAGGAGATAGGCTTAAAAAACTCTTGCAAAGAGAATCATTTTGGATTTACACACTAAAAGCTACTAATTTCCCAGTTCTTAATGGAGAATTAGATTTAGCTCCTTATTTATAATCTCAGTTTTCTTACAATTTGTGTACCATATTTATAATTTTTTCTCAAATTCTATAAGTGAAATTTCATATTTGTAAGTATTCATCCTTACAATAGGATTGTTTAGATGTAAAAAGTTTTTGTGTTGTACTGGTCATCCAATCAGAATGCAGTCTACCTGCCCAGCTTCGGCAGGTGTCATTGATTGGCCTTTTTAACATGGGGGTGAGTGAGCATACAAACATTCTGAGCCCTGACGAAGGCCCTGTGGGCTGAAACGTGTTGGCATTGATGTTTTTAACAATTTAAGCCATGTACTAATAAAGGCTTTTTATTTTTGTATCTCCTGAGTGCCTCAGATCTCCTTTTGCCAACATTTATGTGGATCCCTTGGCTGAAGAGCACCAGTGAGAGCACCAGATAAGATTTCTCACACCCCTGCAGCACTTCCAGCATTTTTTCTATTTAAGAATATATATATACAGATAAAAGAGTATACATACAGATATGAGAGTATATGTACAGATGAGAGTATAGATATACAGATACAAGAGCAGATGTATACAAATATGAGTGTATATATACACAGATATAAGAGTGTATTTACAGATAAAAGAGTATATATGCAGATATGAGAGTATATATACAGAAATAAAAGTATATATAGATATGAGAGTAGATATATACAGACACAAGAGTATATATACAGATGAGAGTATATATACAGATATGAGAGTATATATACAGATGAGAGTATATATACAGATATGAGAGTAATTATGTACAGATATTTCTGTATATATACTCATATTTGTATGTATCTACTCTTATATCTGTATATATTCTCATATTTGTATATATCTACTCTTATAAGAGTATACATAAAGATAAAAGAGTATGTATACAGATATAAAATTATGTATACAGATATAAGAGTATATATACAGATATAGGAGTATGTATACGGATATGAAAGTAAATATACAGATATAAGAGTATATATACAGATATAAGAGTATATATACAGATATAAAGGTATATATACAGACATAAGAGTATATACACAGATATGAAAGTATATCTACAGATATAAGAGTATAAATACAGATATAAAAGTATATATACAGATATAAGAGTATATATACAGATATGAGAGGATATATACAGATATAAGAGTATACAGACAGAAATAAAAGTATATATACAGATATAAAAGCATGTAAGCAGATATAAGAGTATATATACAGAAATAGGCATATATATACAGATATAAAAGTATATAAATAGATATGAGAGTATACATACAAATATAAGAGTAATAAATATACAGATATAGGAGTGAATATACAGATATAAAAGTATATATACGGATATAAGAGTATATATACAGATATGAGAGTATATCCACAGACATAAGAGTATATATACAGATATATGAGTATATCTATAGATATGAGAATATATATACAGATAAAAGAGTATATATACAGATATGAGAGTATATATACAGATGAGTGTATATATACAGATATGAGAGTAGATATATACAGATATAAGGATAGATGTATACAAATATGAGTATATATTTAAAGATATAAGAGTGTATATACAGATAAAACAGTATATATACAGATATAAGAGTATATCTACAGAAATAAAAGTATATATACAGATTTGAGAGAAGCTATATACAGACATAAGAGAATATATACAGATATGAAAGTGTATATACAGATGAGAGTATATGAACAGAAATAAAAGTATATATATGGATATGAGAGTAGATTTATACAGCAATAAGAGTATTTATACAGATATAAGAGTATATATACAGATATAAGAGTGTATATATATATAGATATAAGAGTATATATACAGATATAAGAGTATATACACAGATATAAGAGTATATATACAGATATGGGAGTATATCTACAGATATGAGAGTATATATATACATATATGAGAGTATATATACAGATCTGAGAGTATATATACAGATGTAAGAGTATATATAAACAGATATGAGAGTATGTATACAGATATAAGAGTATATGTACAGATATGAGAGTATATGTACAGATGTGAGAGTAAATATACAGATATAAGAGTATATATACAGATATGAGAGTATATATACAGATATAAGAGTTTACATACTGATAAAAGAGTATATATACAGATATCAGAGTATATATACATATATAAGAGGATACATACCTGATATAAGTGTATATGTACAGATATGAGAGTATATATACAGATGAGAGTATATATACAGATATGAGAGTAAATATGTACAGATATTTCTGTATATATACTCATATTTGTATGTATCAACTCTTATATCTGTATATATTCTCATATTTGTATATATCTACTCTTATAAGAGTATACATAAAGAAAAAAGAGTATGTATACAGATATAAAATTATGTATACAGATATAAGAGTATATATACAGATATAGGAGTATGTATACGGATATGAAAGTAAATATACAGATATAAGAGTATATATACAGATATAAGAGTATATATACAGATATAAAAGTATATATACAGACATAAGAGTATATACACAGATATGAGAGTATATCTACAGATATAAGAGTATAAATACAGATATAAAAGTATATATACAGATATAAGAGTATATATACAGATATGAGAGTATATATACAGATATAAGAGTATATAGACGGATATAAAAGTATATATACAGATATAAAAGCATGTAAGCAGATATAAGAGTATATATACAGAAATAGGCATATATATATACAGATATAAAAGTATATAAATAGATATGAGAGTATACATACAAATATAAGAGTAAATATACAGATATAGGAGTATATATACAGATATAAAAGTATATATACGGATATAAGGTATATATACAAATATGAGAGTATATCCACAGACATAAGAGTAAATATACATATATATGAGTATATCTACAGATATAAGAATATATATACAGATAAAAGAGTATATATACAGATATGAGAGTATATATACAGATATAAGAGTATATATATAGATATAAGAGTATATATACAGATATAAGAGTATATACACAGATATAAGAGTATATATACAGATATGGGAGTATATCTACAGATATGAGAGTATATATATAGAGAGATATGAGAGTATATATACAGATGTAAGAGTATATATAAACAGATATGAGCGTATGTATACAGATATACGAGTATATGTACAGATATGAGAGTATATGTACAGATGTGAGAGTAAATATACAGATATAAGAGTATATATACATATATGAGAGTATATATATAGATATAAGAGTTTACATACTGATAAAAGAGTATATATACAGATATCAGAGTATATATACAGATATAAGTGGATACATACAGATATAAGTGTATATGTACAGATATGAGAGTATATATACAGATATGAGTATATATACAGATAAAAGAGTATATAAACAGATATGAGAGTATATATACAGTTATGAGAATATATATACAGATAGGAGTATATATACAGATGAGAGTATATATACAGATATGAGTATATATCCAGATATAAGAGTATATATACAGATATGAGAGTATATATACAGATATGAGTATATATACAGATATAAGAGTATATATACAGATATGAGTATATATACAGATATGAGTATATATACAGATATGAGTATATAGACAGATATAAAAGTATATATACAGATATAAAAGCATGTAAGCAGATATAAGAGTATATATCCAGAAATAGGCATATATATACAGATATAAAAGTATATAAATAGATATGAGAGTATACATACAAATATAAGAGTAAATATACAGCTATAGGAGTATATATACAGATATAAAAGTATATATACGGATATAAGAGTATATATACAGATATGAGAGTATATCCACAGACATAAGAGTATATATACAGATATAAGAA